ATATGTCCCTCTGTTTTCTATTTGATAAGATCTTTTAGTGTAAATTTGAGATCTAAAGTATTTGCCTAATATTCTATGACAGACTTTCCACTTAATAATCTTGGGAACCATCTTAGATGTCACTGGGTAATACATAGTGTTCTGATATTTTGATGGAACCACAAAAAGATCTAATGGGTTTTCAGTGAGTGATATTGACGGGGTTGGGCGTTGTTACCCTGTTATTCCACCTTAAGCATGTGAGGTCAGCAGAACTTTTGGTGGGGGCCGGGGCTGGGTCATCCCCCTGGGTTTGTTCTGCATGAGTGCTTCTGTAGCACTCATGCATTAATTCACTCAGCCAGCACATCCTCTCTGAACTCTCACCAGGTGTCAGCTCTAAGCTGGGCAGGGACGAGACGGGCCAGGTCTGTCTCTCATGAAACTTATGTTCTAGTTTGCAAGCAGCAAATACAAACAATGACAGTAAAGCAAAACATTTTTTCTCGATGGATACCCATGGAAAGAGCCCTGTGCTGGTGGTAAAGAAACCCAGTTCCAGTTCTGGCTTTGTTGTTTACCAGATCTATGGACTGGGGCACATAATTTGCCTTTTCCTGGCCTCCTCCCGTTCCTTGGCTATAAAATGAAGCTCAACCTCTCCTACAGGTGCCTGGCATATAGAATATACTTGATACATGGTTGCTAAACAAATCAATGTCTGCTTTGGCCACTTTACAGGCCCTGGTGAGGATCAAAAGAGTCATGTTTGTGACAGCCTCCCATAGAAAGCGAAGCGCTACCTAGATGTAAGTTGTATTGATAAGTATGCTGTCCTTTATAAATTACTGTCATCCTCCATTGTGCATAAATGTAGTGATGTGAATTTCAGTAACTGGAGAATGGCTCCTGTCTCCTCTTTTATTTTTATTTTAAAAATTACATTAGAAATGTCCTTCCTCTAGAATTTGTAGCAGCATTTATTTAACATTTCTCAAGGGAAACTTTAAATGGCAAAGAATGAGGCCAGAAGCAAAATGAAATGGTGTCAGGTCTCGTAGTGACAGACTCATCTCCGGAAGCAAAAACTACACAGTAGATGCTTCTGTTTGATGAGTTACTTCTGACGCTTGTGATGTTGAACGTTTTTTGAATAGCGCCATCCAACCAGCTTTGATGACTTTTGAGAGTACAAATGAAACCTAGGGGACAAGTCTGTGCAGCCCTGTGGGTAAGAGGCAGGGCTGCAGGTGAGTGGGTGGGTCTGGCTCTAATGGCTGCCTCCCCTTTGGGACCTCCAGCGAGCTGCCATGTCTCCGAGCCTCAGCCTCTACATCTGGAACAGGGAGGTAACGTTCCTAACTTTCTTAATACATCTTAAATGGCTAATCCATGTGAGATGCTTCTAAGGTAAGCTCCCAGGGTGTGGTAGTTAGAATGAATAGCTGAGCTTCATTACTTACACCTGGAAGGGTCCTAACAGCATCCCTTTGGCCTGAGAGGTAGAGGACCCAAAATCTGCTGTTTCTCATGCTTGTTTTCTGTTGTACAACCTTCTTTACTGCCCTCCCTGCCGTCTGACATCCCTTCTGTGGCTGCTGCCCATGCGTACCAGCAGGTTCTTAGTCAAGAACAATAGAAAACCAGCTCTGGATATTTTAAGCAAAAAACCATATTTACTGGAAGCTTCTTCATGAGCTCACAGGCTCCCTGGAAAGGCAGGAGGACAGACCTCTCAGAGGAGAGGTGAGAACAGGGCAGGTTGAGCAGCCAGATCCATGACCAAAGTTATGTCCAGAACCATCCTGGAGAGGATATTGACACTCAGGCACTGGATGTTGATGCCATCTGGCACCTCTACCTCTGCTGCCCCTGAGAAGCAGTTGTTGCTGTTGCCACCACTGCCAGGAAAGGATTCTCCCCATCCCTGTTCTTTTCCATGTAAACTTTTAATGAAGTACAATATGCATAGAGAAAAGTGGACAAATAAGTGTACAATTCGGGGAATGTTCACCAAATGAACACACTGAATAACCACTACCCCTGCTGAAGAGATAAAACATGACTAGACCCCCAGAACCCTCCCCCGTGTCTCCTTCCAGTCACTGTCCCCCCAAGTGTAACCACTGTCTTTGACTTCTCACCCCAGAGCTTACTTTTGCCTTTTATTGTACTTTCTATAAGTAGGATCACACAATATGTTCTCTTTGTGTCTGGCTTCTTCTGCTCAACATTGTATTTGCGAGGTTCTTCCAGATTGTTATGTGTAATTCTGATGCATTTATTCTCATTGCTGTATAATACTCTACCATTTGGATAAACCATCAGATGGATAAACCACCATTTGTGTATCCATTCTAGTGAGGGTGGACATGGTGTTTTCAGTTTTTGGCTATTGGGAAGAGTGATGCAGACATTCCCTACATGTCTTTGGTAGCCACATGTATGCATCCCTAATGGGGAAGTCCATAGGAGTGGAATTGCGGGATCATGGGGTGTGTGTATGTTTACTGATAACTGCTGAGGTTGAGCACTTTTTCGTATGTTCATTAGCTATTTGGATATCTTGTTTTTTGAAGTGACATAAGTTTTGCCCATTTTTAGATTGGATTGTTGGCCTCTTTATTACTCATTTTAGGAGTTCTTTATATTTTCTTGTTACAAGTTCTTTGCTGAATATATTTATTGTGAATGTCTCTCCCACTTGGTGGCTTATATTTTCTGAGCCTACTTTTTGCCTCTCTAGATTTAAATTTAAAAACCTCTGCAAATGCGTGGGATTGGCCTGCGTGTGCCCTGGTGCCAGGGATCCCAAACAGCAAACATCAAACCTTGTTTGCAGTCACAGGTATCCGTTCTGAGATGATACAACTCCTGGGGAGGTGCTTTGGCCGGGACTTAGCTGCACACACCAGAAATGACGCTGGCTAGTGTTAGCTGAAATGCTGTGCTGCCAAGGGTCAGGTAGCCTCCTACTCCCTGGGAGGGCTGAACTAGCGGACTGGAATCTGAGGGAATAGTCCAGATCCCAGACTCGCACTGCCTCTGCTCTGAAAGGGCCAACTGCTGACGCTGCTGCAGGGAGCCACAGAATGGGAAGCTGATGGCTGCAAAAGCTCGCGCCCTCTGCCACAGTTCCTGCCGCCACAATGGATACCTTTTCTCCTGCTCACTTCCACATTTAAGTCCTGTGTGAATGCATGTCATTGGGGAAACCTGCATCCTTGGAATCTTTGCTGCAGGTCATTTTTGGGTCTCCAGCCTCTCTGGTATAGGTAGAGGGGAGAGCTCCAAGCAGCAATGGGCAGCTCTGGGGCAGGGCTGCTTCAGTAACTAGAGGAACTGAAGAGCCGTGTGGGTGCTGTGGTGGCCGAGTATTCTAGGTGGGAACTGTGTGGAGGGTTGAAGTGCAGTCTCATGATTGGCATGTGGGAATAAACCAGCCCAGCTGTGTGCGAGGTTCCAGAAGGTCATTCCGGCACTCATCTGTTCAGCCATTGTGGTTAGTGTTCTAGAGCTGCGCTGATAAAGCAGTATGAACTGGATGGCTTAAAACCACAGAAATTGTCTCACAGTTCTGGAGGCCAGAAGTCCCAAATCAAGGTTTCAGCAGGGCTGTTCTCTCTCTGAAGGCTTTAGGGGAGAATCTGTTCCAGGCCTGCATAGCTGCTGAGGTTTGCTGGTAATCCTTGGCATTCCTTGGCTTGTAGATGCATCACTCCCATCTCTGCCTCTGTGACTCTCTTCCTCTTCTTATAAGGACACCAGTCATATTGGATTAGGGCCCACCCTAATGATTTCATGTTTACATGATTATATCTTTAAAGACCCTATTTCCAGATAAGGTCGCATTCACAGGCACTGGGAGTTAGGACTTCATCGTATCTTCCTAGAGGACACAGTCTAATTCATAATACCCGTCATCAATGCAGGCCATGGCTGGACCCTCTCCTTTGGCTGCTCTGGATCCCTGGGCTTTCCCAGAGCCACACGTCCCCACACAACTGCTCTCGGTTGGCCTGGCCCTCTTCCTAGTGTTTGCCTAGGCAGAGTCCCCTCATTGTTTGAGACTGTACTTCACTGTACCTCCTTGATCCCTCTAGGACAGAAAGGACCATTCTGTCTCCTGAGCTCCCACCATTGGCAGCTTATCCTTCCATTTGGAGTTTGTTTTTGAAGCCAACTTTTTATTGACAGCTGATATGTATGTAACATACAACAGACTATACATATGTAACATACATACAGAAAAGTAGGTAAACTGTAAAAGTGTAACTCAATGAATTTTCATGAAGCGAACATCCCCTTTATTCTGAATTTATTTCCCTCTGCTTATTGAATAGTAGCTAGCAATTTACAGGCCTCTTTCACAAATTGGAATGTTCTTTGAGGCCAGAAAATGTGTCTTATTTATCTTTATATTTACCCCCTCTCCAGTTTCTAGCACAATTCCTTTATATAGCAGCCCACAGGAAGTACTTGCTAAATTAGAATTTAGAAGATTGGAGGTGAATTTACCAAATGAATCACAGTCAGCTTGAGCTAGTATTGAGTGAAAGTCACACACAAGGCTAAGGACTTTGCTCCAGATTAGTAGCTTTTGTCTTTCTTTGTGTCTGGATTCAAATTGCTGCCTGTCAATTTTTTTCTTGCCTATGGCCATTTTTTGTGAAGGTCCTCTAGAAAGCATAGCCCAAGGCGAGGATTAAAGAGCTGACACTTTGTTTGAGAGATGCAGTCCCAGTGCAATGAGACAGAAGTGGGAAGTGGAAAGATAAAAATGACCATGATGTAGTGCGTACCTTGCTGGATGTGGCTTCATGCGAGCTACAGAGAGACACAGCAGATCTGGTGCATGGACTTCTCCAGAAGTTACGCAAGGAGAAAACACATCTCTGAGCAGTCTGCAGAGGGAAGATTGGAGGGGGAATTTATATGTCCCTTTTGCTTCCATCACCCATTTCCCTCTGTGGCATTTCATGAAAGTCCAGAAGTGGAGGGACATTTGGGCAAGGATGAGGCACCGACCGAGAGAGACAGAAAAGGAGGCGGTCGAGGGAATCTGAGAAGGCGCACAAGGTTTGTGTCCAATACGCTCCACACCTTGCGCTACTCAGGTCTGCTCGTGCCCTCCCATGGTATCAGCTCTCCTGCGATGTGGGGACCTCCATCCATTCTCCAGAGAGAACGAAGACGTCTTTCCCCTTTCCCTGGGAGGGGAGGTGCGACTCCACTCAGTGACAGAGTCCCCTTCCTGATGGCCAGCTGGAGTCGCCTGGAAGACTGAAGCAAGAAGGTTGTGAAACAAGCTCATTCACTGCTCCTGTGGCTGGTCCTGATGCTGTAATTGATATCCATTATCTTCCTCCTCCACCATACGTTCTAGATCCCTTTCACTCTCTGCCAGCACTTTGGCTGGTCTGTGATGTTTGTCCTGAGGGGTCTGAGTTCCTTGTTGCCTTGCCCATTAATAGCCTTTACCAGAAGTGGAAGTATTAAGAGATTCCCCAGGGAATCCCCTGAGCTCTGTTCCAGACATTCTTCTCCTATCTCCACGTGTGCCACAAACCTAACTCCTCATGGCAATTAGCATCAGTGACTCCAGCAGTATAGTGACTCCCTTCTTGGTCTGTTGGTCACTGGCATGAGGAGCCGAAGGTGGCCGGCGGGTAGCATCAGCTTCTAGTTTAGTAGAAGCCTTTTGTGTTGTACCCCAGTACTCTGGAACTGGAACTTCTAACCCAGCTGAGCCCAAGTGTACGGGGATAGGAAGCACAAACTCTGCAAGGGGTTACTATGTGACGGTGAGCAGGGCCACTCCTGGACCCATCTGCTGTGGTTATGTAGGACGTGGCACCAGATATCAGTTGTCAGTTCAAGGCATATACTGCATCCTGGAGGACAGAAGCTCAAGCCCATAGTCTCCCCAGAGGGCACCTCAGCTGAGCCTTCAACAGGCCATTCTGTTGTTCTGTCAGGTTGGCTGCTCCTGAGCGATGGCAGGGTTCATGATGAGAGCAGTGAATTCCATGGTCAGGGGTCATTGATGCACCTTCTTGGCCGAAATGGGTGATTTGGTCTGAGACCGTGTTATATAGGAATCCAGGCCAGCAGATGAGGAGTCGATAACTGGAACATAGTGCTGCTGGCAACTCTGTTACCAGAAAATGTGATTTCAGTAAGGGCAAATTGCTTACCCCCACCAAGGTGGAAGGGGTCTAATCTAGTTGGTGGCCCTCTAGTTCTTCCCAAGGAGTGGGCCATGCCCTGTAGGTTCAGTGGTGGTCTCTCCTGCTGGCAGGTTGGGTACTCAGTGGGGCAGCAAGATGAGCCTTGGTGATGCGGAGGCAAAAAGGGAAAGAAGGGCAACGGAAGGCTGCCAAGTGATGGTGCTTTTACTGTCCAGCCACCGCTTCACAGCAAACTGCAAGGGTCACAGAGACCACTCGTGTTCTCTGGGCTCATGGACTTCTCCAGAAGGTTTGCAGGGATAAACCATACCTTGGAGACATCCAGGAGAGAGTAAGTAAGAGATATTTACCTGCCTGCTTCCCATCCATTTCCCACTTCCCACTGCTCATTATTCAACCTGTGAGGCGCTAACCCTTCCACACTAGTGAGTTGCAAAGACCCAGCCTCTTGGTGGCCACTCACGAATCCAGATCCTGTACTCTGAGATTCAGCTCTTCTTCCAAGTCCAGAAATGGAGGGGTGACTCAGGCCAAATGGGGCACCAAGAGAAGGAATGGAGGAGGTGGTGAGGGGACTCTGAGCTGGTGTACAAGGTTTGTACCCAATACAGGTGGGTTAGTCACTAGCCATAGTGCTACATTAACTATTACAGCTCACTTAGTGCTTCGGAAGTGCTACGTTAACTATTACAGGCTTCCAAGTTGTTATGGCAGATGTCACATTCTCATTTCTGGCAAGGATGTCGGCCCTCAGTACTACCGAGTATTGTTTGGTTGGGAGTTGGTGTGATTCACTTAGAAGGATGTTAGTTATATAAGGTAACCTTGCTTGCGGTTAAGTTTTACTGCAGGTGTTTCATATTTTGTCTCTACTTGTCCTAAATATGTAAAATATCCACCAAATGTGAAGTAATGCCTCAAAACGTGTCTCCTTAAAAAAATGGCAGAAGATGTATGATCATGTATGCTGATATGAGCTCTGATATAACTGGGAGGCCCTAGGACATGGACTGGTTTGACTTGAGGTAATGAAGCCACTGAAGCTGCCCAGGGCTCCATGAGAATAGGTTTTGGATTGCTGCCCTCCTCCAAAGGCCCCTGGCGAGGAGGAGGAGTTGCCACTGCAGCTTGTAGGACCCAAGTCCAGAGTGCAGTGAATGGGGCCTTAACTTTTCCACTGTCTGGGCTGTTGGGTGGCCCTGGAAGGTTGATTCTTAGAGAGAGGCCTACTGCAGCCAGAGCTCTCAATAGGGAGACACAAAACCTTTATATACAACATGGGTAGGTGCACCCCTCCCAAAAAACCACCTGAATTTTAGGATATGTCCCTAAATTGTGGGCCCTTTCAGGACTGACTCTGAAGACATTGAAATTTTTAAAAACTGACTAAATAGGACAAAAATTATCACTTTGGCCACTGGTGGAGAATGGATTGGCCACAAATATCTAAATGAAAAAAGAGCAGAGCTAAATTCCAAGATAAGCAAATGCATTGGACCTTGATAATTTTAAGGGGCTTTCAATCTCCAACTTCACATATGCCACGATATAATTTCTTCCAAATAACACAGAAAAGTAAAACAGAAAAATTAATCTCCTCAAGTCTTTTAATGAAAAGTAACTTTAGTTACAATGAGTTAAGCTTAAATTTAGATTTGGGTCCTGGGTGACTGGTAAAGCTTATCTGCTATATTTTCATTTCCTGAAATTCTCTTGTTACTTTTCATATCCACCTGTTCTTGTTTCATTTTTAGCTACTTTTGTTTCACAAATTATTCTTCCTTTTATTGATGTTATTCCTTCATCTTTGAGAATCCTAAATCAATTTATTTTCATTTTTTTCATGTTTCTCTGATAGTTCCGTTTTGTCTGAAGTGATTCATCTTCTGAGTGTTAACTTTGTTGGCTTCTTTATTAGCATTGATTTTCTTCATAGGTTTTGAATTTTGTTTTTCAGAGGTTCTGCCTCCCTCCCCGAGCCTTACCTACCACTCTACTCTTCTTGATCTGGTGATTTTTAAAGTGTCTCCCCCTTGACCGCTGGAGAGCTTGGTCCAGAACCAGGCTTTATGATGGGGGCTTAGGGCTTCTGTCTTTCAGTGACATTGGGAATATCTCCAACCCAGTCACTGAGCCTGAGGGCAAGTGAGTTCATGTTTTGGCCACAAGGCTTCATATCAGCTATGAGCATGGGCAGAATGTGATGGTAGCATTATTTTTAAAAAAAAATTTTTAAATAACTTAGACTTACAGAGAAGTTGCAAAAATAGTACAGAGAGTTCCCATATACTCTTCACCTAACTTCCCCTAATGTTAACATCTTACCTCACCAAAGTAGAATCTTTAGGACCAGGAAATTAACATTGTTATAATACTATAAACGAAACCTCAGGCTTTATTCATATTTCACAAGTTTTTCCACTGATGTCTTTTTTTCCATTTTATGATCCTGTCCAAGATCCCACATTGCATTTAGTGATTTTCTGTTTCCATAATTTTATCTACTTTTATTAAGGAAGATCTCTCTCTTCCCCATTTATTTATCCCTTCAGTTATTTACTTGTATCAGTATGGACTCGTGGGTATTTATTTTAGTTGATGGATTGTAATCCAGTACTTCCAGCCAGCCCTGATTTCACATAGTCACCTGGTTTCCATCTCCCCGTCTTGTACAGGGTACTTCTGTTTCCTGTTTTCCGTAGGAACTTCTGGAACTCCTGGCTACCTCTTCTTTCCTGACATTAGGCCCAGAAGCCCACTATTTTTAATTTTGGGATAAAAGTCTAAATGCTTAACACAACCTACAAGGTACTACATTTGATCCCTGCCTTATTTTCTAGCTTCATTTTTCTCTTGTCAACTCTCTTGTTCTCAGTGATCCAGCCACACGGAACCTTTTCCTGTCTTTGAAAGCTGTAAACTTCTCCTCGCCTCATAGTCTTTGCCACTTTTCCCTCTGCCTAGAACACTGTCACCCCATTCTTCTTTTTTGAACTAAACCATAGTGTCTTTTTGGTTTGTTACTATGCTATTTAACAGCTGAACAATCTCTAGCCTAAAAGTCTTTAAATCTAAAACGGCAAGTTTCCAACAGGTACGCCCAGCTTTGCCAGGTTTGTAAATCAGAATGCGTTTCCTTCAAGTGAAAGATATCAGCACTAAGAGCTGGAGGTTTTTTCAGGTGTAGACTGAGTCATCTTCTCTAAGGGATGTAACCAAAGCATGAGGGAATCAGAAAAGGCAGCAACTGTCCAGATGAAAGGTGAATGTCTTATTGAGTGTCAAGTCATTTGACTTTAAGAACTGGTAGAAGAATCAAGAAAATAACAAACAATAAACAGTCGGGGGAAATAATGAACATTCAAGGGCAGCAGAATTGCCAAATGAGCTCCTGCCTCTTGCAGTGTTACATGCTGACCAATTCCTCTTCTTTTCCCAGCACCCCCTGTGAAAAGAGACTTGGTCTGTCATGTGGGGTTCTGAATTTCCTTTGAGTATCTAACGGAGTGAGTTAAGTAGATCCAGTCATGATGGTTGGATCTCAGTTTTCAGTCACTGGTCACAGTTGGAAGTGGCCCACATTTTAGTCACCTCTGCTTCCCCTTGCTTTGGTACCATTAGCTCCATAATCTGGTAACCAACAAAGGGGCAGTCCCTTGACATGAGGTTGCGCTGTGTTAGCCCAGCCATTGCCTTCGTCTCATTGGTTGTAGGGCCAGAGCAGAATGGTGACATCCTTGCTCTGCAGATCTTGGTACCCGGGTCACTCCTGCAGGGGCTGCCTCCAAATCCACCCCCTGGGGTCCTGGGTCTCTAATTTCAGTTTTAGTGTAAGGTTCCCACCCTGCTCCAACTCTGTGGTTCTGAGACTTAGTGGAAAGAGCCTGGGATGGGGTTAATGGGCCGTGCTGCCTATCAGGACCCTGGGCAGTCACCTTCTCCATTTCCTGGTGTCTGCGAGGGTTCAGACCATAGCGAGCAGCCCTACATATGGCACTGATGCAGACCCTCCTCCTTCTGCCAGTCTCTCTACTGAGTCCCTCTCAACCAAACATCTACCAGTCAATCCCAATAGGCATTATCTGCCAGCTCTGACTCCAGGGCCTCTCCCAGCTCTAAGGGTCTGAGATTCTCAGGATTTGCCTTGAGGCTTTCTTCAGTCTAGAGCTATTGAGTTTGGGAGCCTCACCCCATACCTTCTCTTACATCCTACAGAAATCAGGATGAAATGGCCCACACCTGCCGTGGCACCATCAACCTGTGCACCGCGCACTTTGACAAGGAGGACTCTTGCGGTATCATGCTGACCAATGGGGCAAGGACCTACCACCTCAAGGCCAGCTCAGAGGTGGAGCGGCAGCACTGGATCACCACTCTGGAGCTGGCCAAGGCCAAGGCTGTTCACCTGATGAGCAGCCACTCAGGTAGTGAGCGCTCGGCACAATGGGTGTCATGGGTCTGGAGAGAGTGGGAATTGAAAGCGCTTAGTGGGCAGTGGTGACCAGGAGACCCAAGCTAGTCTAGACCAACCCTGGAAGGTCAAGGTGTGTGTTCGCGCTTCCCACTCAGCTCTGTGTGTCCTCTGCAGTGAGATGCTTAGGTGTTCGGGGTGGCTGGCAGTTCTTGGGATGGAAATGTTTGTGGTGGGCAGTACTATGTGTGCCTTTCTTTGGACAAGTCTGGTTCCTAGACTTCAGCAGACCCTTCAGATGCTGTCGTGGGTCAGCTCCCGGAGCAGCAGTCAGACGTGGGAGTCCAGGAGCGTGCACCTGTGCTTGGGGCCAGACTTTTTCCCAGGCCCTTTATGGAGATTGAAAACCATTTAGCCAGAGCTGCTGCTTTTGCCGAGGTGGAAGGCCCCCTCAGATGTCCTGAGCAAGATGTTTTATTTTTTACTTTAATACATTTATTTTTTAATATATTATATCTTTATATGATTTATACAATTTCAAAAGCATATATGGTGAAGTCTGCCCTTGACTCTTGTCCTCAGCCACACACCCTGTTCTCCCACCCAGAGGCAACCAGAGCTACCAGTGTCTTGTGTCATTACATGTATATTCAGATAGGTACTTATTTTAAAATAAGCACTATCCTCTGCCTTGCTTTTTTTCAATTTAGAGATTTATCTTGGAATTTTTTCCCTACCAGTACATAAAAAAACTTCCTCCTTGTTTTTATAACAGTACAGTACTTCATTGTGTGGTTGTACTGTAGTTTATTTAACCTATAGCCTGTTGGTGAAGATTTAGGTTGTTTCTTTATTTTGCTATGATGCACTGTGTTCAGTGAGTAACCTTGCATTTCATTTCACGTGTGTATAAGTATAAACAAAGTGTACGTTCCAGGAAGAGGGGTTGTGGCTCAATGGGAGTGTGCATTTGTAATTCTGAGAGCTTGTCAAGCTGCCTTCCATAGGGGTTTACCATTAGATGCCTACAGCAGTGTGTGAGAATGCCTGCCTCTCCACAGCCTTGCCCACCCAGAGCAATAGCAAATGTTTCTGATGGGTAAAAACTGGGTCCACACACACAGCAGCGGGGGGTCGAGGGGAGATTGGGAAACTGATCCTTCATAAATTGTAGGGAAAATGGTGTATGTTTCCACAGGTCTGTGTATTTTTTTAGGAAGGCAGGGCTCCAGGTGAGAATAAGTCACAGCCCCTGCTCTCCAGGATTATCTCATAGGCTGGTTGGGGAGACGGTGAGACCTTTGGAAGTAGCTCTAGCACAAAGTAGAATGAGAGATGCTAGTGACATTTGTCACCATGCCCCATCTCCCCATGTTGGGGACTCTCCCTCAGTACTAGCTTGTTAACGCACATTGAAGGCCATTGAATATTAGTCTGACCTTCTTTTTAGAGGTCTCACCCCTTTGGAGCATAGGTCCTCCCCATAGTGACTCTTTTCCTTGGGGTCAGCACTCCTGGGGCTCTGGTGTGTCAGCAGTGATGCTGAGCTTGGCAAGGGGTCCTCAGGGTACCACTCCATTTCCCGTGAAGGAGGGTGTTGGGGCCATCTCAGACAAGGGCCGTGCTGAGACCTCCAGCAGGACCTCTGATCTCAATTTGGATGCCTGTAGAAAGCCAATGTGGTGAATGATGTGGCTGGTGGTGTGGCTGGGCTCAGAACAACCCTGTTGGCCAAGTGTGGGAACATTGCTGCTCATGGAAGAACTAGCTTCCTCTTTCTAGCTTCTCCTAAGTAAAATAAATAAAATAAATAAATAAAAATTTGCTGCATTTTCTAGGAACTTCCTGAAAATAATGTATCAGGTAACTTTTATTGGATTGGTCATTCTGGAACAATTTCCCTGGGGCAGCCAGTGGGAGGGGTTTCTTTTGCAGCTGGTGTAGAAATGCTTGTTAACTCAGCTGGGCAGTGCTAGAGATTGCTAGCCTGGACTTCTAGGAGAGGTTGGCTCCCCTGAGAGAGCAGCTTCAGGCTCGTCTTCCTTCATTTCGTCCCCTTAGGCATGGTCAGGGGCTAGAGATGCAGCACGTGTCTCATGTTCCCAAGGGGTTGGATAGCCTTCTGGGTAAGGACACAGGACAACATTCAGGTACAACTCAAAGTAGCACATGCTGCATATCACTGAGAAATGGTAGGATTCCTTTCTTTTTGGTGTTTTGAAGCACAAATGAACTAACGTATGTGAAGGAGAAGCCTTTAGGCAGGTACTGTGCTTTTATAGAAAGGTTGAGGCCACCTGATTATTTCTTGAGAAATAGCACTTGTGGTGGCCTTCTCTGCAAGGCAGCGCCCTCCTCCCACAGTTCTTAGGCTGATGGGAGTTATGGTTTGTAACTTTTTGCTTGGAGTCAGCCCCATGTAGCCCTAAATGAGGGAAGACTGTTCTCCTTGAGCTGGCTGATGGTGACCAGCTGGGTCAAGGGCACAGAGAGTATGCCAGGCAGAACCCTGCGGGTCCTCCTGGGGCCTGTCTGTCCCTTCCTAGACTGTGGACCATCTCTCATCCAGCAGGGAGCCTACTTCCTACCTCCACTTACCTCTTGAAATCACCTGCTACCCTCTAGCTTTTCTGCCACCCCCTAGTCCAGGTACCATCCCCTCTTACCTGGACATCTGCTATAGTCTCCTCACTATCTTCCTGCTTCCAGTCAGTTCTCCAAACAGCAGGCAGAAGGACGTGTTTAAAAATAGAATTCAGTTATATAACTGCACTGCTTACAACTCTTGGGTGCTATAAACCAACTAGACTTAACAGACATGTACAAAACACTCCACCCAACAACAGCAGAATACACATTCTTCTCATTCCTCTTTCTGACTTCTTCTAAGTAAAATAAATAATGCATGTGGAACATTCTCCAGGATAAACTATATGTTAGGCCACAAAACAAGTTTCAATAAATTTAAAAATGTTAAAATCATATAAAGCATCTTTTCTAACTACAGTGGAATGAAGCTAGAAATCAATAACAGAAGAAACACTGGGAAATTCAAAAACATGTAGAAATTAAATAACTGGTGAGTTAAAGATGAAATCACAACAGAAATTAGAAAATACTGTGAGATGAATGAAAATGAAAAGACATTATACCAAAATTTTGGGGATACAGCAAAAGCAGTACTCAGAGGGAAATTTATAGCTATAAAAAGATACATTAAAAAAGAAGGAAAATCTCAAAGCAATAATCAAACACCTTAAGGAACTGGATAAAGAAGACTAAACTAAACCCAAAGCTAGCAGAAGGAAGTAAAAAATAAATATCAGAGTTGAGATAAACAAAATAGAGAGTGGAAAAACAAAGAAAATCAATGAAACCAAAGTTAGTTCTTTGAAAAGATCAACAAAATTGGCAAACCTTTAGCCAGACTGACTAGGAAAAAAAGAAGACCCAAATCACTAAAATCAGACATGAAAATGGGGACATTACTATTCACCTTACAGAAATAATAAAGATTATAAGACAATACTATGAACAATTGTATGCCAACAAATTAGATAACATAGATGAAATGGACAAATTCCTAGAAACACACGAATTACCAAAACCAGCTAAAGAAGAAATAGAAAATCTTAGCAGACCTATGATAAGTAAAGAGATTGCATCAGTAATCAAAAACCTCCCTAAAGAGAAAAACCCAGGACCAGATAGCTTCACTGGTGAATTCTGCCAAACATTTAAAGAATTAACACCAATCCTTTTCAAACTCTCCCCAAAAAATAAAGATAAAGGAAAACTTCCTAACTTATTCTATGACTCCAGCCCTATAGCAAAGCCAGACAAAGATCACAGAAAACTATAGGCCATTATACCTTACAAACATAGATGCAAAAACCCTTAACAAAATACTAACAAACAAAATCCAACAGCATATTAAAAGGATTACACCATGACCAAATGGGGTTTGTACCAGGAATGCAAGGGCAGTTCAACATAAGAAAACCAATCAATATAATACACTACATTGACTGAAGGGAAAAAAACCCACATGATCATCTTAACTGATGCAGAAAAAGGATTTGACAAAATCTGACATTTTTCATGAGAAAAACACTCAGCAAACTCACAATAGAAGGTAACTTCCTTAACACATTAAAGAGCATTTATGAAAAACCCCAGCTAACATCATACTCCATAGTAAAAAACTGAAAGTTTTCCTTCTAAGATCAGGAACAAGACAAGGATGCCCAGTTTCCCTATGGCTGTTCAACATTGTAGTGGAAGTTCTCAACAAGCAATTAGGTAGGAAAAAGAAACAAAAGGAAAAATTGTAAAGGAAAAAGTGAAACTCTATTGGCAATTGACATGATCCTATACATAGAAAAATCTCAAAGAATCCCACAAAAAAACTATTAGAGCTAATAAACAAATTCAGCAAAGTTGCTGGACACAACATCAACAAATATCACTTACAATTCTTTATACTCGCAATGAACAACCCGCAAAGGAAATGAAGAAAACAATTCCATTTAAATATTATCACAGATAATAAAGTACTAAAGAATAAGTTTAACCAAGGAGATGAAACTGAAAAATACTACTCAAAGAAATTAAAGAAGACCTAAAGAAATGGAAAAATATCCCATGTTCATGGATTGGAAAACTTAATATTATTAAGATTTCAATACTGCCAAAAACAATCTATAGATTCAATGCAATCCCTATCAAAATTTCAGTGGCTGGGGCCGGCCCTATGGCTGAGTGGTTAAGTTCACACACTCTGCTTCAGCAGCCCAGGGTTTCTCCAGTTCGAATCCTGGGCGTCGACATGGCACCGCTCATCAAGCCGTACTGAGGCAGCATCCCACATGCCACAACTAGAAGGACCCACAGCTAAAAATACACAATTATGTACTGGGGGGCTTTGGGAGAAAAAGGAAAAATAAAACCTTTAAAAAAATTTTTCAGTGGCCTTTATTTTTCAGAAATAGAAAAGAAATCCTAAAATTCATATGGAATCAATTGCAGAGAACCCAGAATAGCCACAATGATCTGAAAAAGAAGACCAAGTTGGAGAACTCTTTTCAATTTCAAAGCTTACTACAAAGTTACAGGAATCAAAACAGTGTGGTACTGATATAAGGATAGACATACAGATCAATGGAATAGAATTGAGAGTCTGGAAATAAAAATATCCATGTATGGTCAGTTGATTTTCAGCAAGGATACCAAAGTCATTCAATAGGCAAGGGATGCTGAAATGACTGGGTATGCACATGCAAAAGAATGAAGTAGCACCCCTACCTCACACCATATAAGAAAAGCTAACTCAAAATGCATCAAAGACCTAAATATAAGTGCTAAAACCATAAAACTCACTGAAGAAAAAAAAGAGTAAATCTTCATGACCTTGGATTTGGCAATGGTTTTTTACATATGACACCAAAAGTACAAGCAACCAAAGAAAAAAATAGATAAATTGAATTTCATCAAAATTTAAAACTTTTGTGCATATAAGGACACCATCAAGAAAAAGAAAAAACAGCCCACAGAATGTAAGAGAATATTTTCAAATCATATTTTTGATGAGTCTAGTATCTAGAATATTAATGGGCAAGGTACTTGAATAGACACTTCTCCAAAGAAGATATCCAAATGGTCAATAAACACATGAAAAGATAATGAACATTATTAGTCATTAAGGTAATGCAAATCTAAACCATAAGATACTGCTTCACACCCATTAGATTAGCTATTATTAAAAAAAAATCCAAGGCTGGCCCCGTGGCTGAGTGGTTAAAGTTCTGTGTGCTCTGCTTCAGTGGCCCGAGTTTGCAGGTTTGGATCCCGGGTACAGACCTGCTCCACTCATCAACCATGCTGTGGAGGCATCCCACATACAAAGTAGAGAAAGATTGGCATGGGTGTTAGCTCAGGGTGAATCTTCCTTACACACACTCACACACACACACACACACACACAAATACAACAACAACAACAATGGAAAGTAACAAGTTGTGGAGGCTTGGAACCCTCATTCATTGCTGTTGGGAATGTAAAATGGTGCAGCCACTGTGGAAAATGTTTTAGTGGTTCCTCAGTAAGTTAAACATGTAATCACTCACATGATCCCAGCAATTCCAGTCCTGGCTATATACACCAAAGAATTGAAAACAGATGTTCAAACAAAAACTTGTACATGAGTGTTCATAGCAGCACTATCCACAATAGCCAAGAGGTGGATGCAGCCAAATGTCCATCAGCAGATGAATGAATAAACAAATGTGGTATATCCACACAGTGGAATATTATTCAGCAATGAAAAGGAATGGTGTACTGATATATGTGACAACATGGATGAACCTTGAAAACATGTAAGTAAAAGAAGGCAGACACAGAAGGCCACATACTGTATGATTCTATTTGTATGAAATGTCCAGAATGGGCAAATCCATAGGGACAGAAAGCAGAGTAGTGTTTGCTGGGAGCTGGAGAAGGAGGGATGGGAAGTGACTGCTTAGTGGGTGTGGGATTTCTTTTTAGGGTGATGAAAATGTTGTAGGTACAGGTGATGATTGCACAACATTGTGACTGTACTAAGTATCACTGAATTGTACACTTAAGAATGGTTAAAATGTTAAATTTTATGTGTATTTTACCACACACACACACAGAATAATCTCAGGTGGCTTGCCAGTGCTCTTAGGGTAAAATGCAAGCTCCTCACCCTCTGTGACAGTCCACAGCCTTCTCTCCTCCCCTTCCTCTTGCTCTCTGTCCTCAGTTCCTGTTCAGGGCCTTTGTACTTGCTGGCGTCTCTGCCTAGAACACTCCTGCTGATATGCTTGGCACCCCAGGCTCTCGTCCTTCAGGTCTCAGCTTAATGACACTTCAGAGGGCCTTAAGTTGTAGCCTCTCTAAAGATATATCCATCATACCATCCTAGTTATTTTCTTCACTGCAGTCTGCCATTATTAATTGACTGACTTGTTTACTTATTTATTGTCCATCTCTTCAATAAAACCCAAGTTCTTGACAGCAGAGAGATCCTGTGCATCTTATTTCCATGGTAACCTCAGGGCCCGTCACTGAGCTTGGCACTGGGTTTGGTGCCCAGTGAGGGTCTGTTGTTGGGTCAGCGTACGTAGCAGCCATGACACCCTTGGCAGCACTAGAATTGTCCTTGGAGAGGAGGATTGGGGCGTGGTGGCTTCTCTATACCTGTCACCCCTGGAACAGATGAAGGAACTCGTGACATTTAGTCTGGAGAAAGGAAGGCCAGGCAGAGCCTGCTCATATTGAAAGTTTGAAGGGTCAGAGCATGTGAATGAGGACACAGACCCGTTTTCTGTGGCACTGGGAGGCACAAGCAGAACCAGCAGTGGAAGTGGTGAGAGCAATTTCTGCTTAGTCTGAGAAACAAACGAGTAGACTGTGAGAGGAAGGAGGTGGTAAGGGACATAATGAAAGTTTCCAGCAGAGGACTGGGACTGGGAGTGGGGTCCCAAGGCTTCTTCAAGGCTCCAGTGCTGTCCTTCTGGATTAACTTTGTGTTTCTTTAGCTGTTCACTTTCTAAATTTGATCAGATGGTCTGTGGTACTGTGGATAGGGCACTGAGCCAAGTGTCAGGCCTGACCCTCGGCAAGTGTCATGTCTCTCGGGGCCTCAGTCTCTTCATCTATAGGATGAATGGTTGGCAGGCTTCTCCCTAAG